CACTCCGCCGCCACGATATATCTCTCCGCCCTTATTAGCTTTGGGTGGGGAGATTCCTCTCCCGGGCGCCAGTAGATCGCGGCACCCGGGTGCTCGCGCCGGAGCCCCAGCCATCGACTGTCTCTTTGAGGGATGTGATGGGGCTCCGACACGAGCGCCAGACCTCCATCCCGCTCCGCGAGAGCTTGTAGGAGTAGGTCCTGAGCCCCCGCGGAGTGGTTGATGTTTGCCTGGAGAAGCTTGGTGGCCATTTCTAGGCTATATTCTGTTTCTCCAGGCAAACCTCCTCCTCCTCCGCCGGCTATGAGAAAACGCTCTCATCCACCGGCGGAGGAACCGCCGCTGTTACCGGCAACTCCTCCATCTCCACATCCGTTATTATTGCCGGAGGCGTAGGCCCCTCCGAGACCGACCCCCCCTTTCCCCCCTTTTCCCTCCCTTCCCTGGACTTCCTTTGCCCCAGGGGTGGGAACTCCTTTTCAACCAGCGCGGCCTGTTCAGCCGGCGGAGCCGGCTGGAATACTGCGGCCGCATTGGCCGCTGGAGGGGAGGTGCTCGTCGGGGCTCGGGCTTTCCCCGCGGCGCTCTTCCCTCCCTTCCTCCTCTTCTTCTTCTGGGCGGCGATACAGGCCTCGCCGCCCAGACGATGGACGGCCTTTTGGCCGTCCTTTGAGCACACGGGGCAGGCCATCTGCCCCGTGCACTCGCTCGCCTTGTGGCCACACTCGCCGCACCGATAGCAGCACCCGGAGCGGTCCTGGGTGCTGTCGCATTGGCTGCGAGTGTGGCCCTCCTCGAGGCACCTGTAACAAGTCAGGGGTCTCGCCGCCAACAGCTCCACTCGGGCGAGCCCCCAACCAACCTTCAGACGCCCCGAGGACACCACCTTTTTGACAACGGCCATAGGGGCCGTTATTCGAGTCGTTCCCATCCCCCTGGGGGGCCTTGAGATGGGCCCCACCCTAACCACGCTGGCTTCGCATCCTGCAGCGCTCGCCACCGCGGCCGAGACCTCTTCCTGGGTGACCGAGTCTTCCAGGTCTCGTATCCGGAAGTCTGCCCTTTTTACCGGTCGGTCGACCCGGACACCCTGCTGGTCTGCTAGCGCCGCCCGCATCCTCTCGGCCAGCTCATTGGCCTTCTGATGCCCGTCGGGGCCGGGAATCTCCAGAATAAACGCGCCCGTTACTGCACGCCTATTCTTAATTGCGGAGATCCCCAGGTCCCCGAGGGAGACCTTACTCTTCACTGTCCTGAGGGCCTCCGCGTATTTGCCCTCAGGACAGGTCACCGTGATTGCGGCCGTTTTGGGCGGCCGCAGATTCTTACCCTTACCGGACTGTTTGCTCCCCTGGGGGTTTTTTCTGGTAGGGGAAGATTTCCCCTGCCCCTTTTCAGGGGATTCCTCCCTACCACCTCCGACCATGACTCCTTTGGCTGTGCGGAGTTCTTCGGCGGCCGGGAGGGCGCAAGGGGCGGTGGTGGTTTAGCGCCCGTTGCCCCTGCTCTCGCTGCCGTCACCCTGCCGGATGACGCGCTGCCGCCAAC